CCCCTTCTTCTTTTGGTTAATTTCGCATTGTCACTGATGATGGATATTATTTAAAGTCAATTTTTAAAACCAATTGTTTTTTTAGATCTATCTTTTCATTTTTTTTAATAAAACAAAACAAAAAATTTTTAATTCCTCTTGATGATTCAGAGAATCCTAATTCTTTCTTCTAATATCTCAATATATGTGTAGAAAAAAAATTATTTGTTTAACTAGAAATATTGATGTAGGGATTTATTTTGATATTTTATTTATGAGATTTAATTATCATAACAAAAAATAAATAAGAAAATAATAAAAACTGGTACCCGTGGGGTTCGAACCCACGCACCTCTCGGTATCGGGGCTTAAATCCGACGCCTTAGACCACTCGGCCAAAGTACCTGTGCGAATTTTTCAGAATTGTACGTGCCGTGACTTGAGAGATTTAGAGATATGTAATCAAATGATATTCTTCAAGGGTATCAGAGCAAAATATTTTCAAAGCATTTTGATGAATTCATACATGTTTACTCTATTTTTATTCTAAAGAATGAAATCTAAATAATCCATTGCCATGGCGACATCTATCAATACATTTGAACATTATAATGATGACAGACAACACCAAAAAGAATCCGCAGCATGCAAGTAATGCAATGATGAGCTCCTCTGAATACCAGTGAAATACAATTTCACACTCTGGCTCCTTGTGGCGTGGTATGAAGAATTTTGATACGCCAGAAGGGATGCTTTCTTTCGATTCAACCGAAATTGTAACTTTTTCAGGCGTTATATCGCCGTTTGTTAAAATCCTTAACAAAAAAGATTCATTTTCGTTGTAAGTCACTTCCTTTGTTGAAAAAGTGCCAGCAAAAGCTTGATAATCCGTGAAATTCTTATAAATGAAAAATTGATCGGTTGGATCTTTTGATGTCTGTGAAAATTTAACGGTCGTTTGATGAGGAGGAACATAAACAAAACACTTATCGTCAAAATTCCTCAATCTCGTGAAATTGGTGAGTCCAGAGGTAGATAATAATGATAAAGATGAGGAACTGAGAGGCATCAATGATATTTCTTCGAAATTTGTATTGGAGAAATAAATACCTGTTTGGCAGAGACCCGGCATCGAAAAGTATATAAATCGTAGGCGTGATGATGGCTCGTGCGCCGTAAGCGTAATGGATCCATACGGAAGTTCAATCGCCCGAAAAATAATTGATGATACTAATTCTGAACCGACAGCAGTAAAATCTTTCGGATTTTTGCGATCTTTTGAGCGGGAATAATATTCGTTATATCGAACGTTTGGTGAAATATCGTAAAAAGCGATGTAAAAAGGATAATATGTGATATTTATACACATGGATTTGCCGTATTCTAACTCTTGGTCGACTTTGTGAATACCTAGTGCAGATGTAATATTTATATCGCATTCTGAATTTACAAACACTAAAAACAGGATCAGATTCATCAAGTTTGTAAATTCTTATGCCAATTTAGCCTTAATTTCACCTGAAGCCGATATTATTCAAAATCAAAATACAAACTTTTTCAATATATATGGTCATATAGTTCTTTCGAATCAAAAAGAAAAAAAGATTCACACTAATTCAACTTCACTCTATCCTGAGACAATAAAAAATAATTCATAAAGAAAAATACATTTTTTTTTTTTTCATATATTTTTAATAACCAAATTTCTTTGTGTAGCTAATTGAAGCTTCATTTTTTTAAAAAAATAAACACAAACATATATATCAAACCTTCAAGAAGAAACTTAAGCATCACGTGCTTCAATAAGTTCAAATTCCTTAATCATCATGTTATATTCCTTTTCAAATTGAATGAGTTCAACATCAACTTTTTCATCTTCGAGATCTTCTTCTTCTGTTTCTTTAGTTTCTCCTTCAACTTTTTGACCAGTTGTGTCATTTGTATTCTTCTTTGCGTCAGCGGCACGTTGTTTAAATCTTTCATCAGTTTGATTCACGAATTTTCTCTGTTGTTCAATAAATTGTTTCATTTGTTCAGCTTCTTCACTATTCGCTTTAGACATGAATTCTGGAACCTTATAAATCATCAAAGAACCATCTCCACATCCGACAGCAAGGAGTTGTTTATCATTATGACCAACACCGAAGCTCAAACTTATAACTTTAGAACTTGCAACAGATTGAGTGAAGAGGCATTCATGGCTTTTATCTAACAGTGCCCAAACTTCAACTTCGCCATTTTCTTTACCAGCAAGGAAAATCGATGGTCTTGTTGGTGAAAATGCAACACATGTTAAAGAATGCTGACGTGCAGAACTTCTAAAGAGTTCCATAATTCCATTCTTCAAATCAGCAATCACAATTTGTGCACGATCACAGCATAGAAAGATGCCTGGAATGAATGGTGATTCAATAAAGCTTAAAGTTGTATGATATAAAAGTTGTGAACGTAAAGTTACTTGAGGATTCTGACGACCTGCTAAAGAACGATCGAGGCCATTCACCCAATTGAATGCAAGTACTTCACCTTCTTCTGTCATTAGTCTGGCATCACCAGTAAGCTTTCCATTATCTGCAACGATATGGAAAAGACGAGTTGGTAAGAAAATTCCAGTTTTTGGTGATTTCAAAATATTCATAGTGAAAACCGGTGTCCATTCATTAATTAACGAAGCGCCTGGTAAAAATCCATCATTATTCGTGTGAACATTGACTGTGTCAATATTTGTATCCCATACAATTAAACGTCCATCAAGTGAAATTGTCATAAATTGAGAAGTGACTTCACATGTATCAAGTTCACCAATACGGAGAATTTTTTGACCAGGTGGAAGCCATTTAAGATCACAGATCGGCTGGGATGGACACTTTGTAGGTGCTAATGTTGGTGATATGATCATGCTTGAGAATTTCGGGTGGAAGAATTCACTGAATGAATCTTCAGTTGAATATCTGTTCCTTAATTCAGCAGAAATCTTTGTTTTTTCATCTGACAAGTCGTAGTAAACTACCTGGCCGTTTTCACAGCCGCCGACGATCAAGTTTGGATTTGTTGGACAGAACTTGAATACTTTGACAACCGCCGGGGCTTCAAGGACATATTGCGGATGAAGAATCGATTGGAAGTTCCATACAAAAATGTACTCAACTGGCGCGTTCACCCAGCTATCCAAATATTTATCAAAAACGTTTGTTGATGCGAATGAGATCGCAATGGTGTCATGCCTGCCTGGCATCCAATCGATGCAGCAAATCGGCGAGTTGAATCTGGCATCTTTCAACGATAAAAATTCCTTCAACTGAGATACGCTGAAACTCTTGACGAGGGAATCATCTGAGGCCGTAAGATTGAATAGCTGATCTTTGAAAATGTCCGTAACCATATTTGAATCCAAAATTGGCGTAATTCTTTCTTGAACCTTTTTGATGAAATCCAAAAAGTCGTCCTGCTCTTGAATCGATTTGCTGAATTCCGGAAGCATTGTAACGAATTCTGTTTGTGCGGAGGAGTTCACTTTTCGTGACCAATGCGATTGCGTTGCCGAATCTGCAACTTCAGCTGACGATTGAATGCCTGTCTCCTTGATAGATCGAGTAAGCTCGAAATTCGGGTCGTTGAAGGATCGAAATTCAACAAGGCCTTCCGTGCCAAGATGCGAATCTCGATCGACAAAAGTTCGTTTCTTATTTAAATCTTTGAAAGGACGTGTGATTAATAACTGATATTGGTTTCTGTTTGTCGATATGTTTAACATTTTGACTTCGTCTTCAGTCGAAAGTTGAACAGGTGCGTCTTCTTCACTCATTTTTTGTTTTTCTATGTTTTTTTCAATGCTTTATTTTGGATTTACTATTTTCACCTTTTGAAGGGTTTTTCAAGATGTAACGTATTCTTCTTCCATTCAATTTCTAAAATTAATAAACGTCATTCTCACATGAAAAATTCCATAACTCAATGACAAATTATGAATTTTTTTATTCGATATGGTAATTTCACTTTACAATATCTTTATATTCTATTAACAAAATATCTTTTCTTATCTCCACACAAAGAATTCCAATATCATATTTAGAATTCTAATTCCGGATTTTGGCAATAACGAATATAAGGTTTTATCGGTAAATTAGGCATTCATTTATAATGAATGAAATCATTGAAAAATTCATAAAAATATCAATTAATAATAATAAATAAAGAAAAATAATTAAAAATATAGAAAAAATTCAAAAAAATTTAGTCGTAGTGAGGATCGCAGTGTTTGAGAAGGGATTCACGGAATACAGATATCTTTCTTGTGTACTTAAGAATATCAATAAATTGTATTCTTGTTGATGCCGTGTGTATATTTGTTATTTTCGCTTCAATATCTCCAACTGTTTTCATTGCTGATTCTAGAGTGAATTTGAAAAGTGCGTATTCACATGCATCTGCTTTATTTCTGAAGTACTGGTCTGGCTTATTATAAACATTCATTTGTTGCTCCAGTGGAATATTTTTCATCCTTATTTCATTATATAGAATATTAAACATGTGAACTTGAGCCCATTTAAAGTTTTCATCAGTCCAGTATATCAAATTCAGCAAATTTTTAATGGATTCATTCACTTCATTTTCTGAAAGGCCTTGTTCAGGCACAATTTTAGCATTTATTAAACGTGTATATTGTTCAGTTTTCTCTTTCAAAGCTTTATTACTAACATGATATTTCATGAATACGTCATGATAGCAAGCGAGAAATTCACGATTAATATTATCTGGCTTTTTCAGAAATGGATCATCTTCTTTTCTATATGCTGCGCAATTATAAAAGTTCTGAGGATGTTCACTCCATTTCTGCATACACATCCAACAAAACTCATATCGACATTTATAACAAGTCATATGATTACAGCCTCCATTTTTCTCAATAATTGATTTACAATTCGGACAAATTTTAACATTTTCACCAAAAAGACGACGCTGCATGACATCATCACC